CCCCCCCCAAAGGCAACATTGAAAATGCAACCTCACCAAAAAGCAGGCTGTGAGAATTGGCTCCAGCAGTGTGGAGAGCATTAGCATTGGAGAGAAAAAATATTCCGCCTCCCAGAACCAAAGAAGCCATTCTGCTGATTTTACAAAGATTGCAGAGCAAGGGCGGGGGGTGAAGGAGAGAAGAGAAAACTTTTGCAATCGCTGACCTAATAAAAGAAGCCGAACCAGCAAAACACGTCAAGGATCAAGTCAAAACACACCATCCTGATGACTTTGCCAAAATCCCAGCTCCAGAGTTTGCATTTCTACAGACGAGGAGGTGGAAGCACCGGCCGCAAATAAAAACATGGCCTCTTCTTCTGGAACACGGGCTTTCTCAAGGCACATCGGGCTGGGGAAATAAAGGAATCTTTCTTGAGACAGCTGACCATTCATGGAATCATTGAATCTTTCAGTTGGATGGGGCATCCAAGGGCTATCCAGTCCAACCCCTGGCCATACAGGAACACACAACAAAAGGACTCCAGAAAGATGTCCATCTAAGCTCTGTTTAAAGACCTCCAAAGAAGGAGCGCCCATCACCCTCCAAAGCAGTCCCTATTCCACTTTCTAAAAGCTCTTACACAGCCAAGGACTTCTTCCTAATCTTTAAGTGGAATTGTTTTTCTTGTCATTGGAATCCGTTGGTCCACGTTTGGGTTTCCTGAGCAGTGGAAAACAAGTTTTGCTCCATCTTGTACAGATGTTTAAAGATGGTGGTCATGTCAGCTCTCAGTCTTCTCATCTCTTTGAGGGAGGCAGCTGCCTCGCCTTGGGGAACTGGAGCCTGGTCTCCAGAATGCTCCGACTACGCCACTGTGCCAGCCCTCCACCTGGCGGCATACCCTCCAACGTTTTGTGGATAAAAAACCAGGACAGGCATGGTGAACCTGGTCCTGATGGCCAAAGTTCTGACTGAGGAAGAAGAAGCGTGGAGCACTTGCAGCCCTTTGCTTTTTCCTGAGCCTCCTGGGAAAGGGGAGATGCCGTCCTCTCCCTCTGGGCTGAGAGGAGCACAAAGCCCTTGGCAGCAAGACAAGTTCACTGAGGACAAAGAAGGAAAGTAAGAGGAGGAGGAGGAGGAGGAGGAGGAGGAGGAGAAAGAAAGAAACCGGGACATTTGAAGAGCAGCCGAAAAAGTGAGATGGCAAAGGAGTCATTGGGACTCTTCTGATTTGTAGGAGAAGCAATGCCTGTAGAAATTCCCTTATCTGTGCAACAAGGAAAGGTACAGGCGCCTTCTCCAGTTTTGCATCTGGCAACCCTTCTCAGCACCCAATGCAAAATTGCCACCCAAAGGACAGAAGAAACACCGTCCCTTTGATCGCCATGGCAGGAGAGCAGGCCCCATTAAAAGGCCTCCATTGGTACCCACCTTTATTTTCGCCCCAGAAGCTTAGGGGGATCATGGGAACAATCTTTTCTCGTTTTAAGCAAAGCGGGGAGAAACCCACATTTCAGCGACTGAGTGGACTTCTCCTTTTCTCCTCCTGTCAACAGTGTCCAAGTTCA